TTTCATATGACAATGATAATTTAGAAAAGATGTGAGTGAGGGGTGAAGGGACAATTTACTAGAATGGTTCCAGGGATGAGAAATATTAGTTATGTACAATGTCAGATAGCTGGGAACAGAGTTTCAGAGGTTTTTGATAAAGATGTTAATTAATTCCTGGAACTTGATGGTTTTCTTAATGCAGTGGGTTGAGGAACCAACTTTTGAAAATTATGTGATGAGAAAGGATTAATTAATAATCTTGTTATAAAACAAAACTTCAGGGAAATTTTAACATGGTAGAATTTTCCATTAGTTTTGAATATAATAATGCACAATCCAAAACTAGGGCTGAAAACCCAAACAAAGGTAATTATTAGTTCTGAGATAACAAGGTGTAGAGCTGGATGAACACAGCAGGCCAAGCAGCATCAGAGGAGCAGGAAAGCTGACATTTCGGGTCTGGACCCTTCTTCTACACCTTCTACACCTTGTTGTCTCAGATTCTCCAGCATTGGCAGTTCCTACTATCTCTAATTATTAGTTCTGGTCAGTTTTGTACCACTTATCTAAGGAAAGATACTAGTGTTGGAGGCAGTCAGAGAAGGTTCACTAGTTTGATTCTGCATATGAAGGTATTTTGTTATGAGAGTTTGAGTAGACTGGGTTTCTACTCATTTGGTGTTTAGAAGAATGAGAAGAGACCTTATTGAAGCATGTAAGATTCTTAGGGGGCTTGACATGGTAGATGCAGACAGATTGTTTCTTCTGAGATAGTAGGAACTGCAGATGCTGGAGAATCCGAGACAACAAGGTGCAGGGCTGGATGAACACAGCAGGCCAAGCAGCATCATAGGAGCAGAGAGGGAGAGTCTAGGCATATTCTCAGAGTAAGGAGTTGCCCACTTAATACAGAGATGTGGAGGAATTTCTTATCTCAAAGAGTAGTGAATCTGTGGAATTCTTTACCTCAGAAGCTGTGGAGGATGGGTCATTAAGTGTATTCAGGGCTGAGAGAGATAGATAGATTTTTAATCAGTGAGGGGTTAAGGCAGGGAAATAGAGTTGATGATTATCAGATCAACAGTGACTTAATTGAATAGCCTACTTGCGCTCATATGTATTGTGGTCCTATGAAGGATGAGTTGGTAGTGATGGATTGGAAAAATCCATTTAACCATACAACAGGCAATGGTTAGTATTCAAAGAAATAGTACATTGTTTACAATAAACATACCCTCCTTTAAGACCTAAAAACCCAAAAGGAAAAGTATATCAACTGTGGTCAACAAAGGAAATTAAAGATTGTATTAGATCAAATGAAGTGGCTTATAAAATTACTAAAAATATAACAAGTCTGAGTTTTGGAGGCATTTTAGCATTCAGTGAATATGAACCTTGAAATTGATAAAGAAAGAGATCAAATATGTGTATAAACTAGCAAGTCACATAAAAATGGGCTCTAAACATTGCTACAAGTATGCGAAAGGAAAAAAAAATCAAAGACAAATGTGCATTCATTACAGACACAGACAGGAGAATTTATAACGGGAATTAAGAAAATAGTTTAAACATGAACAAAAGACCTGAATTCTAGAGGAGAGGTGAAAGTCTCAGCCTTTCATATCAAGACTGCATTTGACCAAATATGGTATCAAAAAGCTCTAGCAAAACTAAAGTCAATAGGAATCGGGGCAAAACAATCCACTGGTTGAAGTTATATTTAACACATACGAAGATGGTTGTGGTTGTTGGAGGTTAGTCATCTCAGCTCCAGAACATCTTTACACAGGTTCCTTGGGGTAATGTTCTCAGCCCAATTTTCTCTGTCTGCTTCATCAATGAACTGACTTCCATCATAAGGTCAGAAGTGGGCATACTTGTTGATGATTGCACAATGTTCAGCACCATTTGTGACTGCTCAGATATTCAAGCAGTCCGTGCCCAAATGAAACTAGACCTGGACAACATACAGACCTGGGCTGATTAGTGAGAAGTAAGGTTCAAACTACACAAGCGCTAGGCAATGATAATCTATAACATGACAAAATCTAACAATCATCCCTTTACCTTCAGAGATAGTAAGAACTGCTGATGCTGGAGTCAGAGATAACGCAGTGTGTTAACATATTTCACCTTGGGAGCCTACAACTCAATGGTCTCAATGTGGACTTTATTAGTTTCAAAATCTCCTCATCCCATGACCAACTCTCCCTCTCATCCTTGCCTCCTTGACCTGTCCATCTTCTCTTCCACCTATCTGTTCCTCCCACCTCACTGACCGAACCCCACCATTGCCTACCTGCACTCAATATCACCACCCAACCTACCTTCCCCAGCCCCATCCCTCCTCTCTATTTATTTCAGAGCCCCTACCTCTCCCCCATTTCCGAAGAAGGGTCCCGACCCGAAACGTCAGCTTTCCTGCTCACCTGATGCTGCCTGGCCTGCTGTGGGGGAGGCAATGGCCTAGCGGTATTATCGCTGGACTGTTAATCCAGAGACCCAGATAATGTTCTGGGGATCTGGTTTCGAATCCTGTAATGGCAGATGGTGGAACTTGAATGCAATAAATATCTGAAATTAACAGTCTAATGATGACCATGAATCCATTGTCAAAAAACCCATCTGGTTCACTAATGTCCTTTAGGGAAGGAAACTGCCATCCTTACCTGGTCTGGCCTACATGTGATTCCAGACCCACAGCAATGTGGTTGACTCTCAACTGCTATATGGGCAATTAGGGATGGGCAATAAATGCTGTCTAGTCAGTGATGCCCTCATCACATGAATCAATAAAGAAAAATAAAAGCTCCACACTGTGTTATCCCTTTGCCTTCAATGTGACATTACCATTACAGAATTCCCCATTATCAACATCATGGTGTTTACCATACACTAGGTCAGAAGCTAGAAACCCTGCAGGGAAAACTCACCTCCTGACTCTTCAGAACCCGTTCACCATCAAGAAGGCAGAGTCAGGAGTCTGATGGAATGCTCCCCACTTGCTGGGATGACAGCAACTCCAACAACATTGACCCTTAACAACATCTAGGCTAAAGCAGCTCACTGGCTCAGCAACATATCCTTAAATATTCACGACACAATGTAGCAGTGTGCACCATCCACAAAATGCACTGCAGAAATTTGTAAAGGCTTCTGACACAGCACTTTCCAAAGCCAATGCTAATATCATCTAGAAGGACAAGGGCAGCAGATACATGGGAAAACCACCAAATGCAGGTGCCCCTCAAAGCCACTCACCATCCTGACTTGGAATTATATGGTCATTTCTTCTGTGCTGCTAGGTCAAAATCTTTCCATAATAGCATTGTGGGTTTATCTACAGGTAATAGATTGCAGTGGTTCAGGAAGGAAGCTCACCATCACCTGTTCAAGGCCAATAAATACTGGCCCGGCTAGCAGAGCCCACATCTCCTGAATGAATTCAAAGAAAGGAACTTCCAAAATGCTTAAAGGAATAGATAAGCTAAATGCAGAAAGGATGTTTCCCATGTCTGTGGGCACTACAACCAGGAAAGGGGCATTTTCAGAGATAGGGGCAAACCATTTAGCACTGAAATAAGAAGGAATTTCTTCACAAAGAGGATAGTGAACCTTTGGAACTCTTAACCACAGAAAGCTGTGGAAAATATATTCAAAACAGAAGTCAGTAGATTTCAGATTACTGATGACTTTAAGGGGTATGGGATACTGTGGTAAAACAAAATTGTGGTAGATCAGCCATGATATAGCTGAATAACAGAACAGGTTTGAGGGCTTTACTGGCTTAATCTTCTTCTTATGTTCCAATGATTAAGACAGGGTTAGTTGAGAAAGCTGGATAACGAAAGAATGCTTCCATTTGGGTTGAGGTTTTGGGCAAGAAGTGCAGGGGACATGTAAGAAGTATTTTTTAATGGAGTGATTGATAATGACCTGGAATTCCTTCCTACAGGGATGATAAACGACTTCTAAAAGACATTAGTTGTGCACTTGAAGGAAATATACTTCTGGGGTTATAGGGAATGAAGTGGGAAAATGTGACTGATTTGATTGTTCTGCAAAGAGCTGGCAAGTAATCAAATGGACTCTTTCTGTGCCATAATAACTCTACAGCATTACTGTGCAATAGCACACGTGCAAAGATTTACAGAGTGATAAACTATTGAAGAATCAGCCAGCAATTTAGCCATATGCCCTTTCCCTATAGTCAATTCAACTACAAGTGGTAGTGGCTGTACGTCAGTTAGTTAACATCTTTATTTGGAAGTGAAATTGCACAGGAAATTTAGAAGCCAGGTCTCATCTGAATATAACAAAGGTATTGTTCTCTGACAGCACACTGTATGCTTGTTTTGTTGAACATTGGACTTCTGCTCAAACAACAAAACAACTTACAGACTCCAAGTAAAACAATATCAGAATCATAATACCAAATTACAGCTTTCACGGAGAAGGGAATACGATCACAGGTTGTAATTGGCAAAGAACCAGTAAAATTCCATGTTACAGAAATCATAATTATATTTATTCTGTCACCTGTGGGCATAATTAGGACAAGTCAGAATCTTGGAACAAGACCAAAAGGAGACAGTAGCATCCTTAAATATATTTGCTTTCTATAATTATATTTACAGTCATTGGAAGCTTATAGGTAAGTGTCTGGAATCTGAAATAATTAAAATAGAAATTAACCTACATGATTACTATAACACAGGAGACTGTGAACTGAATATCTACTAAGGCAGTTGTGAGAAACAAAATAAAATGCCATTGCAGAGCATGGGTCAAAATATATCATAAATAAATAGGAAACAGCTGATAAATGTTCCTAGTAATTAAGTAAGAGAAATGATAAGCTACATAGCAAAATAACCAACTTAATTGATTAAAGTTTAAATATATTTTAGAAAAACATTGTTAATAAAATATATTACTTTTGAAATGCATAAAAAGAGATTGCAAAATGAACAATAAATGCCACTCTCAAGCACATATGCAATAAAACAATTACTAACCTGTACTAAATGGAATGGAATAGACAAAAGTGCCTGGAAGTTGTTCCGCTGATTTCCTGTACCACAGAGGGAAATGATCTGCTGTGAAAATACTTTCCCTGTCCTTTGCAGTCAAAAAATCTCTTGAAACAGAGAAAAAAATATGGTTATCTTATTTGTTTGATTTGGTTTAATATTGTAAAAAAAACTAGATGCAATGATTTTACTGCCTTTAACTTATAATTACAACTGCTTCCCCTCCCAAAATTTGCTGCACAAAACAATGACAATTTGGTCTGTAATATTTAAATTAAGTAATTGTTTTCATTAACTAGTTATAATTACAATTATTAATCTTTGAAGCATCCTTCAAAATTTTAGTTCAGCTGAAAATTTATCTGAGCATGGAAAATAGGTATTCCCAGTTCCCAGTTCTGCACACATACAAAAGTTATAATACAATAGATTTTGCAATCAGTGCTGAAGGAATAGCACACACAGTTTATTGCATTTACAGCTGCCCATAGTAATTTCCTGGACTTTTGAATGGTAACATGTAGTTATTTGTCACACACTATAGGGATTTAGGGCTTTTATGAACAGGTTAGGCAACACCTTGTCTCTTCAACAAATTAGATTGAAGATTTATCATTGAGCCAGACAGAGTCTAAGTCAGAAACTGTAAGTTAGAATAAAAAAGATAGAAAGGGAAAGTAATTTAGCCATTTTTTTTCCATCTACAATAAAAATGAAATTCTAATGGAAGGCAATGACACACTTACAAATACTAATCTTCAGTTCCAGAGGGTTGTTAGACAATAATTAAGATTTATCATTCCATTCGAAGTTCAGTTATATTTGAATAGACATGGTCGAACTTGTTCTGGTATGTTTCATGGGTTTTAGTGGGTACAACAAATTCATAGCATACGTATTCACATGTATTTCAATTTTCGATCTCCATGTAAAATTTAGAAAAAAACTTGTGGAGGACCAGGGTAAATTAGACAGCAATTTCCAGATTTCAATATTTAACTGCAAACGAGTAGATGCCTGAAGTGTTGATCAGAGTGAGGAAATTAAAATTATTAACAGAAGAAAACAACTGGACAAATTTAAGGAACAGAATTTGACAAATCCTGAGGACCTAACGGCCCAAGTCTTAAAGTTCAACAAATGATAATTAAAGAAATAGTGGTTGTATTGCTCATAGTTTTCCTGAATCTCTTATATTTTTGAATAGCCCCAGTGATTTGGATGCTAGCAGATGTAGCACCGCTATTGAGACTTGGCAGATTTTTTCAACATATATTAGCAAATTTGCCTCTAACTAGCTACTCGACCCTTATGGCATTCATCTTATCTGATTCTTAGAGTGCATCTTTCCTGGAAGAACTTGCCACTGGCATACCTCTCCTGGTTCCATCTTAAAAGGCAGTTGTGCAGCTGGACAAGTACTGTCAATCTACAGCTGCCTTGCATGGTTGCTGATGTTTGCCCCAAACATGGCAGACAAGGGGGAAATAGCACCCCACAATGTGGGCAGTGCCCTGGACAGAGTGGTGCACAGAGCATCTTCTTCCCGCAGGACTGGCAGAGGAAGCCACGGCAGCAGAACATGCCAGTCTGGTCTGAGGCGGTCACTTAGATCAGTGCAGTCAGCCATCTGGAGAAATGCACAACACTATAGGAAGAAGGTCAAAGACATTCTCCGCTCCACCAGTGTAAGTGCCACCATCTTCTCTCTGGGAGCTCACAGCCACTCTATCTCTGCTACTGCACCCATCTCCACCAAGGGTCATGTTTTACCACTCTGTCATCTGCAACATCTTCCTCACTCACTCTGACCCACCCCAAATCCAACACTCAGACATGCTCTCCGTGCTGCCTACTCACTCACTCAGGACATTTAGGGTGGCACGGTGGCTCAGTGGTTAGCACTGCTGCTTCACAGCACCAGGGATCCGGGTTTGATTCCAGCCTCGGGCGACTGTCTGTGTGGAGTTTGCACATTCTCCCTGTGTCTGCGTGGGTTTCCTCCGGGTTCTCTGGTTTCCTCCCAGTCCAAAGATGTGCAAGGTAGGTGGATCAGCCATGCTAAATTGCCCTAGCGTTCAGGGATGTTTAAGTTAGGTGGGTTAGACATGGGGAAATGCAAGGGTAGGGGCTGGGCCTGGTTGAGATGCTCTTCGGAGGGGTGGTATGAATTTGTTGGGCCGAATGGCCATTCCACACTGTAGGGATTCTGTGACACGTTATCAACTGCGCCAAAGGTAATAGCTGTGAGACCCACTTTTATCTCCCTTAATAATTGCCTCTTTCTCATTCCAGGAGAAAAACAGACCACAATAGGGCAGAAAGAGTCAAGACGATAGTGGGCTGACAGGCATTTGGTTCCTCACCCCTTATGTGCAGAACATCCTGACTGACTGTCCCAAATGGCTGACTGACTCTGTCCAAGCCCCTGGACTTGGAGTGAAGGCTGCTCTTGACTTATTGTCCTGGGACCCCCCCTGATCAAAGGCTCCCTTGACTTTATTGAGGATCGGTGACAATAATGACAAGCTTCCTAGCTTTGTGTCTGCACTAAATAGCATAGCAATACAACAGTGCAGTGAGCCTGGTCCTGGTATTGCTGGTTGAGGAGACAATGTACAAAAATGCAAAAGAAGGCAAGACAAGGCAAGGCAAGGCAATGTAAGGTACGGATGCTGTGAACATCCAGGTAGGCTCAGAGAGAGTGAGCACTAAGAAAGCAAGCAAAGAACTCAGAGATGCAACCTGGACCAGTCCACAAGCTGAGCGTGTGTCCGTGAGTGCACAGTGTCTTTGGAGCTGCCTTATGATAACTATTGCTGGTGCAGCATTGAATTACAGAAGCATTTGTAAGTCAGTTGATGTGCCATGAGGGTCTTACAGGTTGGCACATGTCGTATGCCAATGTCTGTGCATTTGCTGTGCATGTGGTTAGAGTCCATGGAGTGTGCTCTGAGAATTTGGGCCCTGTTATACAACATGAGGATGCTTTGAAGCAAGCAGCGAGCTGAAGTTACAAGGTACCAACCCTGACATAGATGTCAAGAATTCTTATTGTCTTTCTTGTTCAGCACATCAATTAAGATAGGATGCTATTAAGATACATAGAAATATTAATAACGTGAGTTGTAGCTTTAATAAGGTCTTTAACATGCTATAATTGACCTTAACTGGCAACTCATCCCTGCCAAGTGAGAAATTTGCCCTGCCACTCAGCAGGTGTAAAAAAGATGCTGTGAATTGCTTCCAATGTTGAGATAGACCCTGCTGGATTTCTCATGTGATCATTCAAAAATCTCACTGTAGCCCACATTGTTCAGCCCCTTTGTAATTTCGTCCATTGTAGTTTTAGACCCAAGTATTTACTACTTAACAGTCACTTGTTCAATGCTTTCTGTATTCTGTAATGCAATAGTTACTCATTAGAATGTTGTATGATATTGCACCCCATCCCCATTCTCATCTCCTGGTTACAAGTTCCAACATCACCTTTCTAGTTTATTAGTTAGGAATTCCATCTTCCACTTTTTACTGAATCCATCAATCCCTCTCCATGCAATTTTTAACAATAATGTAATTCCCTAAAATAGCATGTACCAATTTCAGAACATATGAAAAAGTGGCTAAAGCAATTATCAGTGTAAAGCACAGTATTTCTGCCAATTGTTCTGAAATCTCAGACTTAGTCTTCCTTCAAAGAATCTTTAACTTTAGGTCCAATACAAAAAACATCAAACACCAAAAATGTTATTGCAGACATGTGACCACATCGGGGGTATTAAAATGTTTCGGACACCTCCAATGAGTTTTCTAATACTGTCATTGCAACCAGCAAGGTTAGGAGCCATGAATGATAACCTTCAAAGTTGTGGACATTATACTTACAGTCTACATCAATTGGGCAGCTCATTTCCATTGGAACTTTTAGTCTGTGCATGTTAGGCTGAGACCGAAGAAAAGATGATTCAGGAGGGTCAGAAACACACTGCCGTCTGAGCATTTACAAGAATATTTTTGCAAGCTTTAAACAAAGTAACCAACACAGTTGATCATTTAATCCTAAAATGCTACTCTGAAGACTACACAAGATTTGACTTAGAAAGGTACATTCAATTACGATTGAGACAAAACCCCATGATAACCGTAGTGCTGATTACAGAACTCAATACCAGTGAAATGTGAAGAATCAAGACACCTTATAACTGTGAAATTTCAGTCAAGTGTATTTTTTTGTGATCTTAAATTACCATAATCTTTTGTACTTCAGAGTTAATGTTGCTCAGAATAAAAAGGAGTAACATCATCTTTGAAAAATGTTCTACAAATCCTTTTGTATTTATTTAATGACACAATAAAGGATAGTTGATATTCCACTGTGATGTTAATCACACCCTTGTACCAGTGTGGGAGAAAATATTAATAAAGCTTTTTAGAAAAGTGCAATTATCACTTGCCACTTGCAAAATTCACTTGTCCTCCTGTGCCTGGTTTACCCACTCCTAAATGATTGCTTCCTCATTAATAACCTGCCTTTGGGCAACATTGGCGATGCAGTGGCTTTGAAACTTGAAGCATTTTTGACAACAGTGAGGCTCAATCTTTGCCAGTTGCAGTGCTTTAAGGAGGCTCAGCAGAAGCTGGAAGAACAGCATCTCATTTTCCACTTGAGGATCCTGCAGCCTTCTGGACTCAACATCAAGCTCAATAATTTTAGAACCTTAACACCTTCCTCTTTGTCCTTTACACACCACCCATACCCTGTCATGGCATGGGCTGCTTTCAGCACAGCCAGTCCATTTTTACCTACGAATGGTCCTCATTATCAGCTATAGTTGGAACAGCAGATGCTGGAGAATCTGAGATAACAAGGTGTAGAGCTGGATGAACACAGCAGGCTGAGCAGCATCAGAGGAGCAGGAAGGCAATTTTGGGCCTAAATCAGAAATGTGGGAGGGGAAGGGGGTTCTGAAATAAATAGGGAGAGAGGGAGAGGTGGATTGAAGATGGATAGAGGAGAAGATAGGTGCAGAGGAGACAGACAGGTCAAAGAGGCAGGGATGGAGCCAGTAAAAGTGAGTGTAGGTGGGGAGTTAGGGAGGAGATAGGT